TTATATATATATATATATATTATTCCTTGAAGGAAGAAATCGAAATATCGGATTTTTTTTTTTTTTATAGTTATTTTTCATAAGAAACTAATGTTTAATATATAATGTATAGGATAATTAACAGAAATTTTTCTAATTAAAGAATATTATTTTTTATTACTATAGAGAATGTAATTAGGCTAAGTTTTAATTATTTTAGTTATAATTATACTTTATTTATATTCTTTTAAAATCTGATAGAAAATTAGTGGATTATTCTGATTTGATTTATGTTTTTCCATTATTTTAAATATTAAATTAGTAATCTTAAATTTTAAGAAATTTTATGTGATTTTTATCATATTTTCTTAAATATTAAACTTGTATTTGTAAAAAATACTATGTGATTATGTCAACTTAGTTTTATAAATATTCAATATTTTTTACTGCATTTGCTGCTTAGAATTTTATAGTTTGGATGATTATTTATAGTAATTTTTTAATTATATATATAATTTTACTAAACTACATAAATAAATGTGAATGTTATTTAGTTTTTAGTATAATAGTATCATTTTACAAACTTAAAAAAAAAAAACATTTAAATGATATTTCATTTATCTGTAAAAATGATATCATTTTGCTTATATTAATATATTTAATTCTAGATAATTAATTTGTAAAATATCTAAAAATGTTTAATATTGTGACAGTTAAATCCAATTATAATATTTTAAATTAAAGTAGGAACAAATTATATTATAGTAACAATATAAATTCTATTTAGATTATTATGATAATTGCTTAAAATAGCTAATTTTGAAGAATTAATATTTTAAATTTACTCTTCTAAAAATCTGAATTTATTACAACAAGTTTGATAAATTTCTGATGAGTTATATTTAAAGTTTGAAAATTTATGGTAATACAAATTATTAAATGAAGAAAGCTCAAAATGATGAGATACATTTAGATTTGATAACTTAGGCAAACTGTTATTGAATATAACTAATACTACTTGTTGAATTAATAATAGGCCAGTAGTCTACTAGTACTGAAGTGTTAATTAAATAACACCAACAAAACCTTCAAAATATTTTGAAGGTTTTGTTGTTGTTATTTACTACCATATAACCAGCTTTCGAAAGTTTTAAAACTAAAGTATTAATAGTACTGTAACATTTGTACAATATACCATTTTATTAATTGAAATAAAAGCTGTACATTTTTTTAAATCAAAGTTTATATATTATACTTATGTAAATTATTCTAGTTTTAGTTACCTCTGAATTTTAAAAATGTGTATATTTTTTTTTTTACAATGTATTTTGAATAACTCAAAAACTAAAATAATTTTGAAATGCTTATTTACATTAAAACCACTTAACAAATTTTGATGAATTTTATGTTTTGTGTAGAAAAAATATCAAATACAGTAATATCAAATTTTTCATTAATTTGTTTTTATTGTAAATTAAAAATTGAAATTAGATTAATAATCATTCTATTGAAACTGTCAAGTTGGCAATTCTCGTCTGTTTGAATTCTAGCCAGTAATTTTTGTTGATGTGTTTTTTGTTAGTTATTTCTTATCCTGATAATGAAAAGTTCATAAGTATATGAAAACACTTTTTTATTTCATTCTGACAATGCATTTTTATGGTATGTTTCCATAAATAAAATTTAATCATTGAATTTACTTTACTGAAATAATTTAGAAAGAAATAATAGATTTATATGATCATTCTAGAAAACGAATGAACATGATAGATACATGTAAATTTTTAAACTGTGCATAGATTGAATTGTATAACGATAGTGTTACTTTAAGGTGACCAGATTTTAACATTGATGAAGTGGGACAAAATTGACAGGGGGGAGTTGTTGTCTTGTTGAAAAAAATTGTTCTAGAGCAACAAAATTTTATCAAAAAATGCAAAAATTGTATTGTATTAAATTTTTAAAAATTTTAACATATGTAAAATTTACAAATATAATAAATACTGTATATATACTACAGTATTATAAATCTTTAAAAACCATTTATTCTTTAGCATATTTCTCAATCAAATTAATTTTTTTAGTAGATTGCTGCTGTTGTTTTTAAATTGTCATGAAATTTTTCGCAAGAATTTGTTAAATTATATTTCACACATAATATGGCTTTCAAAGTCTCAACACTTAATTGTGATTTACCAGATGTCCACACTTTATTTACAGTAGAAAAAATGCACTCATTCGTGGCATTAGTTCCTGGTAAGGACAGCGTATATTCCACAATTTTTAATGCATTATTATATGGAACATAGTTTGTTTCAAAATAATGAAATATTTCTAACCATTTGTTCTCTGTTGAGATTTTTGCTACCTGTGACAAGTACCTATGACAGGCTATATTTTAACAATTACAGTAGAGCATCAATTATCTGAATATCAGTCAACCCAAAGCATTCTAGTTAGCAAATTCAAATTTCTGTTAGTGCTTTGGCACTGCAGCATTTGCCCCCTCCTTGCCAACCTAAACTGTAGGTCTACTTTAATGTAATACTTTACGTAAGATATGTATTTATAAGATGTGTGATACAAAATATGTACAGTACAGTTTTGTGTTTAATATATTTTTTTGTAAATGATTGGTTATCCAAAAAATCAGTTATCCAAACAACCCAGTCTTGAATTGTTTTGGATAATTGATGCTCTACTGTATTTCAATCCTTCTGTATTTCTTTCTAAATAATAATAATGCTAACTTGTATTACTTTTCCTCTGAATTTGCCTTTAGTGTCACTTTATTATTGTAATTTTTTTTTATTATATAATACTGTCGTAACCAAAATGAACCCCAATCCCGCCACTAGCAATAGAATGATACAAACCAATGTGCTTAGAGAGCTAGTCACTAGCTCTCTAAGGCTGCAACAGACGAGAGCTCTGCGCCATGTAACATGCAGCAAACAAAATGTTCGTTTGTTTGGACAGCCTGAACATGTGCTGCTCCATTGCTGCAGCTG